TGGCAGCGATGGCCGAAAGTTGCAAAACACGCCTGTGTTTTTTCCACAACGGCCTCCGAGGCTGCTCTGGGGCTCCCCCTTCCACCCCCCTGCCCCCCTCCCCATCCCACCCAGTGCTACAACTCCCAGAGGACAGGGTTGGTGCTCGCTGGCGGGTACTCACCCGCCTGGAAGAGGGACTACACAGTTAAGAAAAAAACCCTCTTTACCCCATTACAGCATTTTACTAAAAGAGAGAACTGCAACGACACTTCACATGAAAGTTACAGTGCGTGTGTGATTCGACCACGTATTCAAAGCAGCTTCTGGCCTTACCCTCCATCAGCTGTGCTGGTGAAGATCTGCCTGGAGCAACTACCACCTCTCGCTGCATTTCTAGAGGAGAATTATAGTCAGCTGCTTTTGTAAATGCTTTGCTTCTGCACCTGTTTAAAAAAAAAAGTATGTCTATCAACTATTTCTTCAAAAAATATTTTGCATGTCTGTAGCTCAGAAATGTAGCTTTACCTTGGCAGGAGCTGGCCTCCTTACCACCCCAGCACTGCAAATGTCCACCCAAATGTGCCAACTTCCACAGCTTTGGAAGGACTTGCTCAGCAGTATTTCCTTCAGGACCTTGCTGCAAGCATGAATCGGAGTTGCGCGGCAAACAGGCTGCTGCATGGGGAAGTGGTATTTCGATGACAGTGGGAACTGGCAGACACACAGTCAGTAGGGCAGGAACTAGCAAAACATTTTGGAGCCAGGCCAGCGTACCACAAGGATGAAAGACTCTCACTCTGCTCACCACCAAATCCCTCTAGAGAGTCAGTAAATTGCTTAACCCGTGGTTTTCACAAGTGGCCTGAGCTCCTCAGGGTTTTTCTGGGTACTGAAAACACCGATTTGCAGAATCCCTGAGCATCCTGTGCGAAGCTGTGCCTTGCTCACCTGAAATTCTGCATGAGCAGCTCATTGAAAAAGCAGCATCTGCTGCTGTTGGAACAGGTGCTGGGAAAGCTCCCCTGGTTCATAAGGAAGCCATGGTCTGGCCACCCACAAGCACGTGGTGAGCCCCACGTAAAGCCGCAGGGGAAATTGATGCTGGTGCTGGCAGAGCAGGACCTGAGCAGTGTGTGGGCAGCGAAGGATGGAAAGCAGCACAAAGGGCTTCTTGCCGCTGCCATGGGCCAATGCTTCCAGCTCCAGAGGTAATAGTTTGGCCTTAGGTTGCTCCCTCTTACCATGTCCTCAGATTGTCATGGGAGTTTGTCTAAAATAAGAGGAAAAGGGTAACTCATGGGCACAAGCTAACGTATACCCACTGAGAGGCCAAACTACAACTGCCCAGGTAACCTTAATGAAATTAATTGATAATTTCTGGAGTTTAATTGAGAACTAATTGAAGCCAACTCACAATTAAGTATTTAACTTTGCACCTTTGATCTCTAGGTTTTTTTTTTTCCTGCATATGTCTACATAAATAGGGATCTCCTTCCTACTGAAGTTTGAGTGCTGACAGTCTTGTAACAACCAGCTTTGCTTGTGCAAGCCTCGGGAAGGCTCACTGGTACTGCAGGTGTTTCCTAGCCTGGCTGCTGGCTTTGCATCCCCACTGCTCAGCTCAGTGCTCTGACCCCAACAGCATCTCCCTCTTGCTCTCAGCACCGGTTAGATCTCAGCAGTGCTTACAAATAGGTGCCTGGGGTATTGCTCCAGTTGCACAAGAGCTGTAATTTGCCCATAGCAAGCAGCAAATTAGGGACTAGTAAATGCAAGCACACTGACTGCAGGACAGAGATTTTTGTGTTGGCATAGGTGTAAAAAAACCCGCCCAACACACACTCACCTCTCAGCTTCCATCCAGCCATTCCCGCGTACCATCATTGCTATGGCCGTGAGCAAACTGGTAACGCTGCACTTTCCTGCAACAGGTTTCTAAAAAACAAGCAGTCAAAGGTATCTGCTTTCCTGCTGCTGGAAGCAGGGGAGGGATGCCATCGCAGGGCGGTGGAGCCCCTGCTGCTACGCACAGCGCGAGAGCTCTGGTAGCAGAGCGTGTCCAGCTGAGTACTGCTCTGCCACCCACTCGTTACAGATGCTGCTCCTGGCAGGGCAGCTCCAGCAGCGGGTTAAATGGGAATAAAGATCACAAGATGGCCAGCATGTACATACAGAAGAGGGGTGTGGGGTTTTTTTTATTACAGTTTGTTGGTGTATTTTATAGCAAAAAACATACCTAAACCCCACGGTTGGCTATCAGAGGAAGGAAAGGGACTTCCAGCTCCCTGGGACAAGAAATTGCATGCTTCCAGTCTGCTGCTTATTGGGAAGAAGAAATGAGGACTTTCCAAGAGCATTATCCCAGTGTGAGATGGTTTGGTGCAGGTCATGCTCTCATCCCTACTGCCACTGTAACAGAAATCACTGCAGAGGTGTGAAAACAGCAGCTACACACACAGACATGGCCAGTGCTGGAAATATGCGTAATACCTCAGCGATGTTTTGGCGATCACAAGTGATTCAAGGGAAAAGGGACACGATAGCCTTTCAGGTTTCTTTATCATATATATGATACTCCTATCTGTAATCATCCCTTTGCATCAAAAATTGACCTGGGAAGGAGGAGCACATAAAGCTGGAGCAGTCCTGGTGGGGAAGCTTTAACACAGATCTTGGCTTGACTTTAGCGTTGATGAGGCTTAAGCAGGTAACCCACAGTGATAACGTGCACTCCACCGCTTTGCCCAGTCTCCAGTGATTGTTGGTATGGCAGAACATCATCAGCTGACCCCCAACACAGGGCAGCGGGCAGGACCTGAGTACCTAATGTTTGAAAAAGTGAAACCATAGAGATTTCTTCCATATAAATGCTCCGGTCTTTGTTGCTTAAACATGTCCTTAAGCTTCTTCTCCTTCCCCTATTTGCATTGCTCCTCACGAGGTACACGCCTGCTCCCCCAGCAGCCGGCTGAGAGTAGGATGAGGCCAAAGAGCAGCTCCTTTTCCCCCAAAGGAACAGCACTATCCTCTCCCTCTTGGGTGCTAAGGCACACTGCTGGGACAGGCGAGCACCAGCTGCCCAGGGAATATCTCTTCCCAGCACTGAACGAATTACCGAGGGCTCTCCATGACGCAAACCCCCAGCAATGCAGGCAGCCTTGTGCACGGCAGAAAAAGAGAAGGAATGACGGCCTTTTGCAAGAAATTCGTCTTTATTGAAGCAACCATGAGTCACACGAGCTGCCAGCTGGCCTGCAGGATAACAATAGCAGTGGCCTGGACAATAGCAGCTGGAGCTCACAAGGGAGATTGTCTCTCTGCAGACAGCGACATGCTTAAGGACACAATACATACAAGTGACTCTCCCCACTGCTAGAAGGGGGGTACGTTGGCAAGTGCATATCACCACTAAATCCATGCTAGACCAAGGTGCGGTGGTGACTGCCAGGAGGTAGCTTGAAGAATACTCTGGAGCAGTTTGAACTTGATCCTGCTTCCAGTGAAGTCACCGATGAAGCTCTGCTGGTTCCAGGAGAGTGGGATGAGGAGCAATAGCTCTGTCCCATCCCCTCAACACAATTCTTTCCAATGCAAGGTACTCGCAGCCATGTTAAAATGCTAACGGGGTGCTGTAGGCTGCAGTGCTGTCCTTGTACGTGTGGCAGCTCCTGCCTGAGGGCCAGAACCAGTCCTGAACATCAGCATGGGGGTTTCCACATTTATCTCAATAAACAATTGCTACTTACTGTTTTCCATGGCTAAAAGCCACAGCGAAGGAGAGGGATGAAAGCTGTTGTTGGTTCAACAGACATTTCACATAGCCATATATTTTACAGGAGGTTTTCCAGCAGGTGCTAAATCTATTGCAGTGATGGGTTTCAGCTCAGAAGCGGCTCTGCCTCCTTGCAACGAGGGCAAAGCACACCGGGGAGCCGACGTTTGAGCTAGACTGAGAGCTGAGTTCTTCAGCTGATCGAGGCTTTTAAAATTTCTGTTTATTATTGATAAGGTGATCTAAAGAGGACGTGGAGTTGGACATTGTCTTGTTTGACCTGGCTGGAGATCAGTCCTGTTCTCTTACAGATTTAAGCTTTAGTCCTGCACGTATGTGTAATATCAAAGTCCTTTTGTATTGCACAGCAGCGCAGTGGGTTAGTGAAGCTAGATAAACACAGAGCTAAGGCTGGAAGTTGAATAAGCCCCTGTGAAATCAGTGTGGTGTCAAGCTCTAGGAGGTTGACTAAATCCTAAGAATTAAAAAACATAAATGGTGTATTGCATTAGCAAGGAGGAATAAGAGGGATAAATCCTTATGCTGGTCATTTGTGTCAAAACCACTGCTTTCGGAGTTTTTTCCTGATCTCTACCAAAGGCTCTGTAAATCTGTCAATGTTTGAAAACAGGGGAAAACCAGTCAACAGGCATTGGACGCCCACATCCTCGAGCATGATCAGAAATGTGCCCGAAGTCAATCATTACAAGTGTCCAGGCTAGGAGAGCGCATTTCCCATCAGCAGTGACACACTGTGTCCGTGTATTTGCCCACAGCACAAGAACAGTCCTGGGCTGTGGTCCAAAGCCATCTTCCTAGAAACATTGCATCTCTGGGGTCAGGGGGAACTGCTCAGATGATGGTGGAAGAGAAGTTCAGTTTAACACTGTGATTTTTGCGTGGCTTTTCTCTCCATTTTTGTCCTAAGGGGCTCTTTGTGTCCTGTTCTTGGAGCTACAGCCTGTACGTCCCCTGGCAAGGCGAATTGCATCTCAGGTGTGTGACTTGGTCCTTGTCCATTTTGGTGAAGGTGTAGGACTGCTCCTCCTCAGAGAATCATCTGACCGTGCTCTGACCATCTCGGAAATGCAGAACAGCTAGTAGTGCAGGAAGGGGAAATGCGTGACACTCATCTCACCGCCTGACCCCACACAATGCCTTCCCGGGGGACTTTGCGGGTGACTTCAGACATCTTCCTGTGCCAAGAGCTGGCTCTACCTGGTAGGGGTGCCTGGGCAGTGGGTTTCTACCTCTCTCGCAGGATGTATTTGCCTTTCCGGTCCAGGTTGCTGCTGAAGTGGATGGAGAACCAGAGGAATGAAGTCAGGATCATCCCATAAACCTAAAAGGAAATAAATGAGATGCGCACACAATTAAATGCCAAAGTGACGATGATGTTCCATCTATGAAAATAGGCAATGCTGCCTGTTAGTCCACTTGGCATTTCTGGATTTATATATTAAGATGTCACATCTTTCTTGAGAGCTCTTTTCCAGTAAAATGGTGAACGCCAATTCCAAGATGGGAGGAAAAAAAACCACACCAACCCCAAGATGTGGTTAAAACATCTGACTGAAATTAGCACAGTACGGATCACACTCAGTCCTAAAAATACCAAGGGCTGAGATGAAACCAGGAAATTCAGATTTCAAATTCCTGCCACAAAACATTCCTCTATGCAAACAAACATATCTCTCTCATAATACTAGCCTTTTATAAAGAAAACATAGGCAGAAAAAAACCCCAACAACCAAACCTCGTATATTGTTTGGAGTAAAGAACCCAACTAAACAAAAAAACTCCAAACAAACCCTAAACCCCACCCCATGCACGTGCACGGTTGTGAATGCAAAGGACAGAATACTTCCTCTGTGTTGCGATATTCCGCCTGTTACATCACACATCGGGATTTACACAGGCAATGTATCAAAGGTAAGGCTGCTGCGGGAAAGATAACGAGGGCTGTAACAACGTGCTCTTTCCTAAAAGTCTGCTTTAACGTGCAAATGCCTTTGCTTGCGGCTGGATCTGGGGACACGTGTGCATTGTTGGCCAAGGGACAGTGACATCAGAGCAGCTATAGCGCTTGTCATGCGCTTCCTTTGCATCCTGCCATCACAATAGCGAGCCGTGCAGTGAGATTTCCTCTAGCACGCGCTTCAAAGACAGCCGCCTTATCTGTCTGCAGCATCAAGCTGTGACAAGGAGACATATATAACAAAAACACTCCCGCTTTTGTCTGCATACAGCTGCAGTGAAATTTCTCCTATGCCTGATAAAAATTAGAAAGCAACACCAAATATTCACACACGACTTCACATTTACAGCTCCATGGCTATGCCCGATGGTTTTCCTAGTTTACTAGCAGTATAAAACACAAAAGCATCTGTTCCTCTGGGCTTTATTTGGATGGAGAAGAGTCTTCTAACTCCTAATTGTGCCAAGGTGGACCCAAGCAGTAAAACAATCTCCAAATACACATCCAGTCAGGAAAGTTTGCCCCAGCTGGGGAGCATCATGGAGATACCACATCAGACCCAACCTCCCGTCATGGTGAAGAAACAAGTCTCGCGGCGTGTACTCTTTCTGGCATGCTTCGACACACATGCAGGGCCTTCGCGTAGAGGTCATATGGTGATACACCTCTGCCAAGCAGTGGGTGGGCTTAAGGGGAGGCTTGTTTTAATTAGTGGTGCTCTCCAGCTCCCAAGGGACTGTGCCCATGCAGCCACCGAGCCCCCTCACTGCTGAAGGACATGCTCCTCTTGCAGTATTTAAATTTTTTTTTTTTGTCCTCCCCCAGGTAAGGCTCAAAAATTCAGTACAGACCCTTTCTACCCACACCATCCTCTGAAGATGATCATAGCCCTCCTCTATAGGATCCTCTTTCCAAGACAGCACCTGACAGCCCAAGCAATGTTCTCTGCTCCTCTCCTTTGTAGTCTGTTCCTTAGAAGCTTATGCCCAAGATGCACCTTACCAGTTAATTAGTCATTAATAGGAGGAGACTTTCCCTTTCTCCACAGCTCTCCAGCTCTAGTCCTGGTGCTCTGCAGCTTTCAAGACCTTCTAGCTCCGGCCGCACAAAGCAACTTCTCAGGCTGAGCTGGAGGTAGCCAGTGAGTGCTGTGCGAGGAGAAGCAGCACATTTCCTAAACTGTGGAGCTTTCTGGCATCTCCTTCTCCACAATTGCTGCTGGTTTCCTGCATGATCCATAAGCCCTGCGCCAGGTGACACAGCCTCTTGCTTGCAGGAGAGGGCATGAGGGCAAGCCTAGGTGGATGAAATGCAAATGCTGCTGCAGCCAAATCCTGCTGCTCCTCACTTCTGTGCCTACTTTGGGCAGAAAAACTATGCAGCAATCCTATTCCTGCAGAAAAACCCCTTCATCCATCAGCCTGGCCAAGATGGGTCCAGGCCCTTTCCTAATTTCCAGGTTGAGTTCACCACCGCTTGTTTCTCTGCTGCTGGTCCCCAAAGTCACTCAAAATTCTAGCTTCGAGGAGCTAACTTAGGAATGCTTTCCCCACTGCAGCCTGCCCCTTGGGGACAAAACACAAAGGAACAGACACAGCTACCGTGAAGCCGATGGTGATGCCCAGGAGCGTGGAGGCAAAGTCCATGTGCTTCTTCAGGAAGCCCTGGATCTCTTGCAGGCAGTCCTGGGAGGAGAGAGACACCCCTTGCAGCACAGCAATGGCTCAGTGGGGGGCTTCAGCCCCTCAACAACACTTGCCCATGTAGAAAAGGAAGCAAGAGGGGGATGCAGCATTGCACGAATGGGCTGCTCCACGAGCAGCTCTCTTTTTCTGCTGTGTGATGCAACCTGGGAAGACAAACACCTGCGGTATATTTTCTATTGCTACAATACACCTATGATTTTCCTGGTATGATGCGTTTCAGACTGTGGGGGATGTGTGTGCGCACAAGTAAGTGTGGTCAGGCACAAGCTTTTTTCTTTCCGCCCACTGGAAAATGGAAAGAAGGAAATGAAAAGATGGAAAAGCGGAGCACACCATAATGCTGAATACATTCCACAAAGATACTAATGAACAGCTCAATTTTGCAAGGCGTTGCAAGCATTAATATACATTAGCCTTAAGCATGCCAGAGGCCTCATGGAAATCCAGGAGGTGTTAGCCAAGAGAGCCATTTCCAACATTCAAAAGCACACCCTTGATGAAGTGATTTGCCGAGTGAGGTCAGAGTGCTCAAAGCCAGAGAGTGAACATACTGCAGCTACCAAACTGCTGCTCCCTGGGTTGCAAAATGCATCCCCCCACCCACCTCCCTCTGCTCGCCACCGCAGGAAATGCAAGCCATTAGCTGAGGGGGGCACAGAGCCACCCCTATGGTGCCCAGTTTTGCTCTGCTCTCCCTGCTCTTTGAGCAGAGTTCCACCCTGCTTTGGGATGCGACGTTCCCAGAGGCAGCACTGGGAGAGCCTGCCCTGCGAGCTGACGCGTGCCTGCGCGTCACGACTCAACATCTTCGCCTAACAACAATGTTTTTGTACAGCTGTAGTGACGTGGTTTTGTTTTTCCTATGGACAACCCAGATATTGATACTGGCAGCTTTGGATACTTTAGCTGATCTGGCTACTCCAGTGGAAGAAAAATAATCATACAATAAATTGGCTCAGAGTATGAAGTTTCTGTTGCGGCTTCAGCACAGACTCAGTCTAATACTGGTGGTTTCTCGATCAGCCTCACTGAGATACTGCAAAGAAGAAGAATGAAGTGCACTTGATGCCCAGCAGTAGCTTCATCATCATCCTGCTTCACGAGTTGCTCATTTTAATACATATTTAACGCCCTGGGAAAAAGGAATTGCAGCAAATTCCACATTTACTGTTAGGGAGACACTTTTTAAACCCTAGAAACTAGTGTCGTGTAGAAAAGTCCAGCAGTTTTGGAGCTCTGACGCATGCCTGTGATATCTCACATTCTCTGCAGAGACAAGAGATGATGAGGAACCTGGAGGGAAGCAACAGGCTGCAAACACAAGCATTTTGAGGGCTTTCAGAGCTGTGAAGGAAACCGCATCTGCAGGTCTGAGACCTGCTGATCCCACCATGGCTCATCCAGCAGTTGAGACACCTCCTTATTGAAATAACAAAACCTCAGCAAAACAAACCCCAACTCACAGCAGCCCCAAACCATGAAAAAGCCACAATTCTCATTAACACATACACCAGTGAGGTTTTAACAGTGAGTAGCCACACAACACCGCTATGGGGTTGAAGAAAGCTCTCCCTTACCTGTCCCGCATCACGCACTTGGCCGGACGGGCACGTCTTGCGCTCGACGTTGGCCGTGTCCCCAAACGGAGAGTGCTTCCCGCAGCACAGGAACTGGAAAAGAGGGAGAGGTCTGCTAGGGCTCTCCCCTCACTGCCAGCTGCTGCATCGGGAGGTGACGGTGATGGGCCACCCTTCCTCCTGGCTGCCCCAGGCTGGGCCGCGCAACCAAGGAGGGAAGCACGTAAGGATGCAGCTGACAACTGCGGCAATGGAGGTTTAATTAGGAGGAGGTGGATCTGGCCCCAAACTTGACCATGGTCCCCCAGAACTGCTGCCTGGGGCAAAGCCCTCCCTCCATGGGCACAGACACATTTCTGGTGCTTGTTATGGCCTCAGGGGTTTCCCAACAACACCCGCTGCGGGGCTGGTTTCCTATAGCCAGGGTGAACCGGCCAGCTCGGAGCTTTGGCAGAAGGAAAAAATAATAAAAAATAGGAGTAGAAGGACTGCTTCTCCACAAATTAAAGTGGCTAAAATAAGCAACAACTGCAGCTGAGTACTGCGCCCGATTCTCCTTGTCAAGGGGGATCTTGGGTGTGCTGCTCCACAGCCCTGCAGAGCAAGAGCCACCTGCTCATGGCTCTGAGGACCAGGACCACTGCTGCAGTGAGAAACATTTGCCCTTTTCTGTGTTTCCAGAAGCACGGATGAAAGCAGCTTCATGAAGTATTTGTGACAATGATTTAAGAAAACACAGAAGGATAAAGGGAGTTGCATGGGAGGTGTCTGGAAACAGGAGAGTGGTGCTGACCTTCCCATCCAGCCCTGCTGCATGCCATGAGCTCGCTACCCAAACAGGCCCTGCCGTGCGAGGAGACGGCATCTCCTCCACCCAATGGGGCCATGGGAGTTTCTCACCACGGGGGACATCCTCACTCATCTCCCATGGCTTTGAGGGCAACCACCCGTGTCCACCCACTGAGCTACAGAGAAGCCCCCAGCAGCAACAGCATCTTGGGAGGGGGCTCTGGGGACTTGCTGGCAGCCTCCAGCACTGCAAGAGGCCATGAAGCCCCCAGGACTCCTCAGCCATCAGCTCAAGGGTAAACAGAAATAACCAAGTCCAAATACTTCTGATGGATAATGGAATTCCTCTCCTCCCTCCACCTCACCAGGGATGTCAGAGAAGTGTATATCCACCTTCCCATACTACATATAGGGAGCACAGCAGAAGCCTGCTGAGACAGCTACAGCGTGGAAGCTTTGAAGATCTTGCACCAGAGTGATGCTCGGGTAGGTGGCCCTTTCCTCCTGCTGACAATCTGGTTGGTCAAACCTTGGAAAAGAAGAGTAGAAAGGGAGGAGCAGACTTCATAGCAGGCTGGAGGACTCGGTTCCCGAGGGAAAATGACATCGCAGCATCCGTGAGGCAGAGCATGGGTGTCAGCCCCTGCCTGCTGAAACCCTGAAGATAGTTCAGGGCAAGGTTTTCTACAAAGGCTGAAAGACCACTTACTGCTTCGTGGATGGCAATCAGCTCGTGTCTCCTGACGCTGGAGGCATTCCTCCTCACCTCCTCGTACACAAGATCATACACATCCATCATGCTGTCTTCTACCTGCAATGAAAGCAGAGATCTGCACGTGGAAAACGCTGACTGTAGTCATCTCTGGAGGGAAATACACTCTTCTCTCACCCCCCCAGAAGGTCTCCCAGGTATAACGAGACAAGCAGTGCAGCTATTAAATGACTCCCATGTAGCAGCAGGAGCTGGTGTATGACCCACCAAGGGGCATCTACAGCACTGCGAGTCCCATGCAACGCTGCATGTGTACCACCTTCTGCTACACCCAGACCCCTCCACATCATGGGTCTCACCAGGTGATGGCTAGAACTTTTGGTCAGTTTTGGATTTAGGGTCAGAGAACTCTGGTGCCTGTAACCAGAGTGCCTCCAAGTCCCTCTGCCAGGCAGGGATGATGCTGTCTCCCTGTCCTGAGGGGTGACTGTGAGGACAGGCACACATGACCACGAGATGCTAAAATAAAAAGGTTAGAGGAGCTCAGATGGCTGGCATTATCCCAGCGACGGAGGAGTCCCTCTAAATAGAGCCAAAAAATAACAGAGTGATTCAGTGGTGAATCAGACCCTAAATATTTACCAAACGTGTGAGAACTCGCAGCTTGACAGATCCCAGCCAACTCCCGCTCGGGTTTCAAAGGGAAAAAACATGACAATTGCCTTCAGTGCCGGGAGTCAAAACCTTAGTTCTTCCTTTCGTTTTCCCTTGCTTCCTCGCCAGCATGGATCTGAGGGGGCCTGCAGGCAGCACTTGGCCTTCAGGAGGGAAAATCGATCAGCAAGACGGCTGGAGTGGTTGGCCACGCGGGGCGGGACGGGCACCCCGGGAACAGAGTCATCCCTCCCAGAGGCTTTTCCGCTCCGTTTTAAGGGGCTGCACTTGGAAATTACCCTAGGGGAAAAACCCCTTAACACTGGCTGTTCAGGGGTGAACCCAGGGTCATTCAAGGTGATAACAGCCATTGCTGCCATAATCCTCTACCCTGCCTGGCTGTCCAAAATGCAAGCAGCTAAGGGAGGCTGATAACCAGGGAGGGGAGGAGGGGAGTTGAGAGGATTACTTCTATCTGACTCTGCTCTGTGCCACCAGGCATAGAGTTTAAAGGCTCACATCAGAAGATTTTCTATGGCTACCCCAATAAAAAGGAAAACATCCAGGCTTTTCTAGCTTCTTGTGAGACATAAAACAGCTTTCCAGCAGCAGCAACTAAATAAATTGTCATTGTTTAGGCCCAGCCGACAACTCAGCACCCCACAGCCACTCACTCACTCCTCCTCCCAGTGGGATGGGGAGGAGAAAATGCAAGGAAAGGCTCATGGGTTGAGACAAGGGCAGGGAGGGATCACTCACCAATTATATGGTCATGAGCAAAACAGACTCGACTGG